ATTCTAGTGTACTCAGCTGCTCTCTCTCTCCATGTCATCATCTCTGCCTACATTTCTGGTATTACTGCTTCTCTGGATTGGGTCCCACATTCCACTTGTGCTCTTCTCCCTTGATGGTCCTGGAGTCCTCTGTTCCTGGACTGTAAGATTAACTACTCCCTCTCTGTTTTTATAAAACTTCTTCCTTTACAGTGGTTACAGTTGCAATTAGTCATGATAACAATTACTCACTGTTGAATCAAAACAATCTTATCCCCATATCCTTTCACCAGACCCATCTAGACAAGATGAAAACTGTTTAGTGTGTTGCTCATGAGCTTTTAAGATTCCAGTCATTACTCATTAAAATTGAATGTAGAATATTGTCTTTGTGGGCTATGTTATGTCAATTTACCATTGTGTCCCATGAGACTATGGAAGTAATGACAATTCTTATCACTTATATTCATAACTCACTTTATTTCTTGTTTTAGATTTTGACCTAAATTTTAGTTTAACTACAATTGCTTTTTTCATTGCATTTGCTTAGTGCTTGGGTGTATCTCTCAACCCAGACTTTTCTTCTTGTTGCTAGATTTTGTTTTAGGAGAGGTGTAGGATCAGCACTGGACTGCGAACTACAAAGTCAGCAGTTCAAACCCACCAGCTGCTCCTCAGAAACCCTATACAGAGTTGCTATGAGTCGTAGATGACTCGAATGCACTCAACAACAACATTGGAAAATGGAGTCCTGGTGTGGTGCTGTCATGTAAGCACTAAACCATTGTGGTTTGAACCACAAGGTCAATTTGAACCTCAAGCTTGGTTTAAACCACAGGATTGGCAGTTGAAAACTCACTAGCCACTCCTCGGAATCATATATAGGGATATATGATTGCTGTGAGTCACAACCAACTTGGTGGCACTTAACAACAACAACAATTGGAAAATAACACTTTTTATAACTTTTTATTGTGATTTGAGTGAAACTTTATGAAGCAAATCAGTTTTCCAGTCAATAGTTCATATATGTTTAGCTTTGTGACATTGATTGTAATCTCCGCAGTCTTCTCACTTGCTCCTTGTTTTTATTATTTCTATTCATCCTTCTTTTTATCCATTCCCACCTCTGAACTTAGCAAATGCCGCCCTTTTAGTCTCCAATGATTGATTGTTCTAAGCAGTGTGTATTTCCCTGGTGTGACTGTTCACCTTGTAGGCCTGTCTGTTATTGCCTGAAAGTTTAGCCATGGCAGTGAGTTCAGTTCCAGGTCTGAACAGTGACTGAAGGCCATAGTCTTGGGGGTTCCACCACTCTATTAGACCAGTAAACCTGGTCTTCTAAAAGTTTAAAAAATTTTGAATTTTGTTCCACATTTTCCCCTACTCTCTCCAGGGCACTCTATTGTGATCTCTTCTAGAATGGTCAGCAGTTGTATAACATACACTCTTTCAAAACTTGTTTTGAAAACTGTACTTGAACTTGAATGAAACATCTATTGACAATAAGAAATTATAATATTCTTAAGTTTTCATCAGGATTTTGTTGCTAGAATCAATAATTTTAGATTGGTATAATTTGTTTCATCTCTCAAAATTGATTTTTTATGCTTAGAGTACCAGTTACTACTGAGTCAGCTGACTCATGGGGACTCCCTCTGTTAGAGTAGAACAGTACTCCATAGGGTTTTCAGTGGCTGAGTTTTTTCTTGGAAGTAGATTGCCAAGTCTTTCTTCTGAGGCACCTCTGGGTGGACTGAAACCACCAATCTTTTGACTAGCAGCAAAGCACGTTAACTCTTTGCATCATCCAGGGACTTGTGTGGAGTTTGTGTGTATGTGTTTATGTGTGCTACTGATTTGCTTTTGACTGATGTTGTTGTTGTTAAGTGCCTTCAAGTTGGTTCTGACTCATAGTGACCCTGCATAAGGTTTCCAAGGGTTTCCAGGTCCAAGGTGGATTTGAACTGCCAATCTTGAGGTTCAAACCCACATTGCAGTTGAGTGCTTATCCTACAGCACCACACCAGGAATCCTTTGCCTGATAGTGGCTCTGTTGGACAGAGTAGAATGGCCCCATAGAGTTTCCTAGGCTGTAATTTTTCTAGCAGTAGATCACCAGATCTTTCTTCCTCAGAACCACTGGCGGTTTTGAATTGTCAACATTTTTGTTAACAACTGAGCACGGAGCCACTATACTACCAGAACTCGAATGCATATAGTAGTAGTTTCATAATCACAATATGAAGATTTATATGTTAATTCTACTTTATATGGATTTTATTGCTCCCTAAGTTTCTTCCTCTCAGAGGAAAGTGAAAAATATTTTATTCTCTCTGTGGCTAACCAAGGAGACTGGGTGTGATGCTGCAGGATAAGCACTGGACTACTCCCTGCAAGGTTAGCACTTCAAATCTACCAGCTGCTCCATGGGCGAAAGCTAAGACTTTCTGCTCCTGTAAAGACTCATAGTCTCAGAAACCCTAGACAGGGTTACTATGAGGTGGAATCGATTCGATGACAATGAGTTGTGTTTGTTTGTTGTTGGGTAATCAAGCAGTATTCATCTCACTTTTCAGCTTCTCAGCACATCACGCACAAGCCACTAAACATCAGGGAGAATCCATGCTTGAAGCTGGCTTTTGCCAGCTTCCTGTTTTTGTTCAGCCTCCATTGATTTTGGTAGGCTAATTTTCCTCAACTCTTTTCTTGCATGTTTCTGTAAACTCTAACAATTTTTTAGTAGATTCACTGTGTAGAGACCTTGGCAAGTAAGATAAATGGATGCCTTGATTTCTAGTCTTTACACAGCGCTTGGCAGCCACCTCCCATGGGTTCAAAAAAACTATCCTGGCAATACAGGTGGCAACACTTCACAGCTCACCTCTACAACTCCATTTTCTAGCTGGCATGGAATGCTGTTTTCCCAAATCATCACGAGGGAGCAGCAACCCGCATAGTCTCTCCTGCTGATTTTTCAGAGTGCTGAACCACCACTTTAAGTTCCTGATTCTTTTTCTTAAGAGAACTTCCCCTGTTTACATGCAAATATTCAAGGAACCATTCTCTGGAGGAAAAGTTTGATGTGATGAGGAGAGAAGAGATGTCTGGGATTGGAAAATGGTAGTGAAGCCCTGTGGAGGATACTAATTAGTGCTGGGGCCAGGAAGAAACAGTTCTTCAGCTTTGAATATTGGTGAGTGGGGCTGTTCCTGGCTTCAGAGGAGCTGTAGGAGCAGCTGGCCTGCAGATGGCAGCAGTGAGGTCAGGAAAGATGAAAATCTTGACAAGGATTTTATTGTGACTTGGGACTATCCAGCTGACCACAGACAGGTACTCTAGCATGTGGCACCTGTAGATTTCCACCCCCTAAGCTCCTGGGAGTATTTGGGGTGCAGACAGACCCTGCCTGCTTGTCCAAACTTCCATGACAAGGATACTTTCTAAACTCATTCTAGAGTGGTTCTGGGTGGAAAATAATAGTGTCACAGACGTTCCTCTGTCCCTGGACTGTGTTGATACCCGGCATGTTGGAATGGGCCAGACTACCTGGATTTTCACACTGGTTCCCCAGAGGTGATCTGGAAAAGCTACTCGAGTAATGAGAATGACAACATTTTTCCTTCCTCAACAAGTGAGGAAGCTCCCACCACCATACGGTGCCAATAAGAGCTAAGTAATGTATACTCCAATCCTTTCATGACTCCTATACCCTGGTTTTGGTGCAGATACCTTTGGAGCTGGTGCAGATCCTTCCTGAATATTCTGCCACTGGTCCTAGATTATGGGTCCAGCTACATCACTACTTCATCAATCTCTGTCTTTTTGCCTCTACATGGGTAAGAGGTTGCTGGACAGGTACCTCAATTGCTTCAGATGACTCATCTCTTCTTCCTCTCCTCAGTGCTTATTAGGTACTTGGTAAAGGGAATATATTATAACGGTGAGTATAATTCACATTTCAAACAAGTCCTCAGGTGATATCGAGGCTGTTGGCCCTCAGGCCAGATTCTGGAACTCACAGGATTGAGGTAATTTTAAGGACCTGATCTCAACCACCCTTGTGTTCAGTTCCATCTTGGCTCTCACTCACTAAGACATGAAGCAGATCCTTGTGCACAAGATACTAGAGGCTAAGCATCCTATGTACCACTTCTGTTAGGGAGCAAGTTAGC